GTACAGGATAAGCTGTGAACCACATGTGAAGAAATTCGTACACTCCACTTCTACTTGAAGTTTGTGCTGATGGTGTCTTTCAGAAGAACAATGAAAGCTCCACCACTAAACAATACAGCTCAGAGAACAAAACTCCACCAAAAAAATTGTATTACTTTGAATGAATAACACTCGAGGCGTATTTTTTTCTTTTTTTTTGAAGTATACACACATACTTTCATTATTTAGTTTGTGTTCAATTCACTTTAGCCGCTATTTTTTATTCTCCTTGAAAATGTTTATTAATTAGTTGTTTATTTTATCAAATATGTAAAACATACTTAAGTAGTATGTTTATTTTTTGTATTTTCTTCATTAACTATTAGGTGATGAATGAGCGGTTTCTTTCTAACTGTATTGTGCTTGTTTTGAATGTTTTCTTGATTTTATATTCAATGTTATATGAATGATAATTTAAAGTGTTTCTTTTTTCATTTTCCACTAAAACATCTTCATTTTATAGAACTATTTTCAGTACGATTGATATTAACTAAAGAAGTAATACGAATTTTAACACCAGTCGAAGTGTTTAAACATAGTTTAAGATTACTCGAGAATGAGTTACCACAGTCTTTAGCGTTCATAATAGAAGAGATAGTTTTTAGTCTAATGAATGGTGGAACAATATGAAAACATTGTTAGATACTCATATTTCAAAATGGGACCAATGATTATAAACAGAGAAAAATGTCGGCTAGCCATGGAATCCAGAACTTGCATTTCGTCTTATTTGGGACTCGCCAGATGGAAATACCCGCATCTCTGGGTTAATGTTAATTCCGGAACTTGAACCTAGTATAGTTCGCTTCAAATGTCATCGTGTTATCTACTTAGATGCTGAATCCAGATAGTCATTAACTTGTGCAATGGGGTGAAATTTTAATTAAATTTGTAACAGTTGTTGGAATCTTCACATTGATATTTAGGACTGTAATTAATCAGTCTCTTATTGGTATATGTGTATCTTGTGCGGATTGCATCGATATAGCCTCAATTCACCAGCATTATAAGCAGAGATGGATAGTGGCTAGCAATGGAATCCAGTAGAATCCATCTTTAGTATAATGTTTGTGGTTTGAGGCTATATCGAGGTGATACACACAAGATCCACATATACCAACAAGAGACTGATTAATTACAGTCCTAACAATTTTTTCTGATCTTTTCCTCATTTCGTTTGTATTAATAATTATATCAAAAAAATGTATTATTGTGTGACGGTCTGTTTGTTATTACAGTCACATCATATGATAAGATTTTCTGGCTTATAATACAAACGTTTCATTTGGAAATTATTGATTTAATGATGATTTTATTAATTAGAATAATATTGCTTTGTTTACAGTCGGTAAAACCTTTCTTCTCATGTGTTCTTTGTGAACTTTCATAAGGTATGCCGAAAAAAAACACTTATTAATTCATAGAATTAAGTTCTAATTAATTCACTTGAGGATTCGTCTCCTATCACAATACAAGCAGCACATGATTGAATTTACAAAAATAATGAATAGTGATTGAGGCAAAACTACTTTGTACATTAAAATCGATTAGCCAGCTATATTAGTCAAATTTGAGAACGTCTTATAAATTGGAAATGTAATTGTCCAAAATTAAAACCATTAAGAACTATGCTATTCCCTATGGAATTGTACATTTGATAACAATAGATTTGCATATATTTAATGTTGCATGCAATCAAAATTAATACAACAGATTAGTGTCATCATAACAAATGATTTGTAATATTTTATAATGTGATTCAATAAAGTTGATGGATTCTAGGAACATAGTAAGCAGTATTTTGATCTTCCATGTATAAAATTTTATTAGCTTAGTTAATAAAGTTTTCTTTCGTTTAACTTGTTCGACTAAATTTTAGGATTTGGATCAATTTCTTGATTTTTAAAAATCCGCTACATCTGAAAGATTCATTCGGTCATTGTTTGATTGTTTTCTAAGGAATGAGGTTCCTTATCCCATGACCAACCTTCCTATGCCGGGGCATAGGACTGGCAGATTTAAGTAAATGTAATTTTATGATTACTATGTAAAAGCTATTAAATGTGTGTTATATCGGTATAGCCTGCTATTGATGATTTAAAATGAGGAACAATTCCAATTCCAAATATGTGAAGTAAAAATAGAAAGACTGGTACAACTGAAGATTTATTCACCCCCAAAAAATGACGACCCTAATTCGCACAAGTATTTGATTATTTATTAGTAAAATGGTTACGTATATGAAATTTTGACAAAACTGCATGTTGACTGTCATGCTGAACACAGCCCATTTTAATCTGATACAAAGAATATCATACCTTAAATATTCATCACACTGAAATAAATCAATGCTGTACTGAATGATCATCATATTGAATGAAAAACTGAAGTAACATTGAGTTAAAAAGGTAATTTTGCCTTTTCATTCCGTCATTTCATTATGAAAAAGAAACTACCTACTGTACAGAAGTTGATAGTTTTATTAAACTATTAAATTCTGAATTTAATGGAATTTATAGAATTTTATTACATCAAGTAATAAATCAACTGAAGGTCACAGAAACTAAAGGATTAAACCAGTGTCATTGTTAAAACAAAGTGACATTAGTTTCTTTTTAGAATTTTGGAAGATATAGGATCTACTTCATGAAACAAACATCCCCCAAAGAGTATTGACTTACGTAGCTTAACTATTTAATCTAAATTGTAGGCTGGTAAATTGAAGATAAAAAATAGTAATCATTGTAAACTTATTTGTGAATCAATAAATGACCATTGATTTACCTATTTATGCGAATACTTTTAAGGAAACTATACACTCGTTAGGAAACAAAACTGTGAAAACGGCCACCAGTGAACTAAAGCAAACTCTAAAAATGTCGAAAGTATTCCATCCAATCATCATTTGGAAGAACATTCCGGATTCTTGATATGTAGCTTCTCTATTGAACAAATGTTACAAACCACTATATGTAGATTAGATGACTGTAATGATGATTTCGTTTTTGATAAAATGATAAATACAGGAGTGTTTTGCACCACATTTGACTGGTTGGAATAAGATTTATTTTTACTCATCTTCCGTCTTTTAACTTACGACTTGGATGGTTCAGATTGTACGTGATATAGCAAAAATTCAGGTTTGAGACATAACACAAATAAAAAAATGCAACGCCGTACAATTGCCAATATTAAAAAATATATGACCTATGACATCCTAATAAGCTTCCAAATACCCTGGCACGGCCAAAAGTGGAGAGAGTCAGCCCTCCCTTTCAAAATGTTCACATATGGCCACGAGCATACAGCCACTGCAACGGAAGTCCCACTCACTGCCTTCTCGCGCCACAGGTGTTGTTTACGAACTTGAGAGGACGAAAAGCAAATGTCCGGCGCTTTAACTGGGTTGGTGGATACAGATAGTTCACCCAGAGGAGTTGGAAGACCATGATTCCAAACCAATATTGCATATGGGCTCCTGTATCCTGAAGGAACAAATGGCATATGAACCAACTGTTGGTCACTAACTATCGTGGGACTTCATCTCCTCACGTTGCTCCACTGCCTAGTGGATCAGACCTTTAGATCGAGAGCTCGGTGTATGGCCCCCTAAGAAGACTGCCTGCTTCGGTTTAGGCAGCCGGACTGTATCCCAACCCTCACACAAATTCAATGATTTCTATAGCGCATATCTATTTGGTGCCTTTTTGTACCAATGTATATGTGTTTAAATAAATAAATCCTAATATGCTATATGAATATTTTCAGTAAAACTAATATAGTTTGTACTTCCAGTATATAATTTATAAGTATTCTAATTTTAGAAATATCATAATGCTTCTATGCATTTCAATATTTTAAAGAAATACCTACTATTCTCAATTATATATTTATTCAAAATGAATAGTTAAATTTGTTTTATACTGTAATAGTACGTATTGTCCAATAAAACATTGAAAATCTTAAGTTTCGAATATTTTTACAAATTATATTTTTTAAATAAAATTGAAATCACACAGATTGAAATCATGAGTCAATTGAAGCTAGGCTACCATGGAAAACCTGAAAGCACTCGACGGCCTTTTCATCCTAGTATGGGACTCCTCAGCAGTGCCCATCCACGATCTCGCACCTCGCGAGATTCGAACCCAGGACCTATCGATCTCGCGTCAGGCGCTTAACCAACTAGACCACTGAGCGGGCCAGCATCCAATGGTATTAATGTCTAACTTCAACCAATCCACGAAGTTGCACCATCGTACACCATTGTCTTCAGTGAGTTGATATCTCACAACAGATCTGGTTGAACTCCACTGGTAACAGCTTCTCACTAGAACGTGGATGCGCACTGTTGAGCAGTCCCATACTAGAACGAAATGGCGGTCCAATGTTTCCAGGTTTTCCATAGTGGTCTAGTTTCAATTGACTCATGATTTCAATCTATGAAATTTTTAAAATCTCCACAAACTCCTTCTAAAAATTGAAATCTTCAATCGTTTATTTTATTAAATTTAAATGTTCAATTGTATTGTTACTTTTATTTACAATCCTTATTTAAATAAATAATTAAATAAATAAAAACTAACTATCTTAGTTGGCCAGCTCATCATAAAACAAAAGTTGTTTACATAATTTTTAAAAAAAACAGTTAAATTTATTTATTTTTATTTTCATATTACATTAAAATTCTTATTTGTTTTTGGGTTTAGTTTTGTATAAGTGAAATCACTTATTTATTCGTTCATTTAATATTTTCAAGAAAAAAACAGGTAAACATAAGACACAAGTAACAAGAAAGTGTGTTGTTGTGAAAGAATTTCAGAAGAGAAAGAAAAAAAAGAAACAAATGATGTTCACTATTCAAAATGGTTTATCAAGTTCCTTTAAAAAAAAAAAGAAATGAGTAACGATCGGAAGAATATATGTGAAATCATTATTGATTAATCTGGACAATAAAAGAGAAAAACAAACAAACAAACAAACCATCATTTAATTTTTTTTCTCCTTAAGAATCATATGTGTATCATATGGATCATGTTGAGAGGATGTAAAATACAATTGCATTTTATAATTATTGTATATGATGTGTACAGTTAAGATAAACGTAATCAATTTACTTTAGTCAATAATAATCGGTAACTTTCGTTTCAGTAAAACAAAACAAAAAAACCATAATTGAATAAACACAATCACAATAAAAATATTGATTTGTAATGTGTAAAGAAATAAGATTGAAGTTGTTGCTATATGGTAAATAAATTCAATTCTAAGTGAATTGTTTATTTTACTTTTTCTCTTTTTTTTAAAAAAAAGGGGGGGGCGTAGTTCATCATGTAATAATTTTTATTTTTTTTTATTTTGTTGATTTATTTACTCTGTAATTGTAATTTAACAATCAATTGAATAAAAGTAAAAAATAATGATAATAATCAATAATTTGTAATGATAATAGATTTAATAAGAATTAACTAAACTATAATTTTATTTCAAAATTGTTCATATATAATCTCCATCATAGTATTGATAACGTTGATGAAGATAATCATAATGATGATAATGAAGATCATGAAGATAATGATGATAATGATGATTGATTGATTGATTTAACCTATAAAATAAAAAGAAGTACTAATTAATAAACAAAATTCGTAAAAAGAACAATAACAAAAGGTCTGAGGTGAAGAATAGATTTAAGAATGAAAACAAAAGAGAAAAATTTAATCAATTTGAACAAATACTATGTATTTATGTTAACAGTTGAATCAAATAGTTTGTTTATGTTGTCATTATGATGATACATTTATCCAGTGACTGATTTCACTTGGAGAACTATTAAAAATTAAGGAACATTGAATATCTGTTTCATCTTTTGTATAGACACATTTGTAGTACACATAGTTTTCTTCTTCAGGCATCACAGCCTTTAATTTCTGAACTAGCAAGAAGAGTTTTATCCTTAAATCATTTACTGAATATTCAGTGGTTCTTGTTTATTATATCTGTTAGTTGATGATATTGTGTGATTATTATATTTTGGATGATACGCGTTCCATCTCTAGTATGATTAAACTTTTGAGAAATTTCATACAAGAACAAAATCTCTTCAGCGGACTATGGTTTCAACGGCTGAGTGGTTGAAGTTAGTCCATTACTTAAAACTGTATCGATTTACTTATCAACTAGAAATGCTAATGCTATTCATTATGTAATAGATGTATATGTTACTTTGATTCTATCTAGTTCTTGAAATCGATACTCTTGAAACAAACAAGTCGCGGTAAAATTGAGTTAAGACTCCCCAAATAACTAACTAAATATATTGAACTGGTTATAAAAAGTGTTAACACATACGGTTTCACTGCCATAAAAACTTTTAAAAAAAACATATTAAAAGTGTTTGAATCATTTTGTATTCAAACCTTAACGTACATAGACTTTCTTGTATAAAAATACTAATTCACTGGTTAAATTTATAAATGCTTCTAAATTTTTTGACAAAAATGTGTTACACGGTTGATTTAAAACAACCTTTCTAGTGTTATAGGAAACTGATAGAAGACTAGTACCGATCTGCGATCTTGACCAACCCCTCATCCATTCGGCGAGGTGGAAAACTGTCTTACACTTGACACGGATAGGACTCCATTGGTCACGGATTCGTACTAGATATCCAGGAAATCCATCTTGAAGCTAGTCATTAATGAGCAAGTGAATACTATCAGAATTGGTTGTGGATCGACTGAAGTTAGACATTAACAATGTTGTATGTCGACTTAGTGATTTAGAGATTAAGTACTCACACGCAAGACTGAAAGTCCCGGGTTCTAAAACCGCATGAGGAATCGTGGATGAGCACTACTGAGTAGTCCTACAATAAAACGAAACAGTCATTCAGTGCCGTTAAGTTTTCAGCGATGGTTTAGCTTAAATTGACTCATGAATTCAATAATTAAAAACATACATATTTATGAAGTTATATTTAATAAATGAACAATACAAATTAAACGGTTCTACATATCTATAGAAATTATTCATTATATCACTTATATGATCTGACTTTGAACTGTAAACATCAAAATTTTAAAAAACAACTACACTTGATGAGAATAAATTTTATTATTTTAAAATTAATTTCCCCGCTGTTATTTAAAATCAATAAGGAATTTAATTAGCGAATAGATTTTTAATATTCCTGTTGGATTATTACAGGAAGAAAAAGCTGAGCGTTTATAAATGTTAACATTATACAATCCAAGTTGTTTTGTTAAAATGAATTAACCTTTGTGTGTTCTAAATGTAAATCTCTGACTGAGAACAATACTGTCATTTTTCTATATATATATAATTTGGTATACTATTTATGAGTAAACAGTTGTGTTGTTTATATATTTCTATAATTTCTAGAGTTTATCATATGTTCAGTAATGTCAGTGTAAAATTGAAGGATAAACTGCAATATATAATTTCATACACATAGTTCCGTTTATCATTTTGAAAAGAGCAAGAACAAAGATTCGAGCAGAATAGCATGAATTCACTTTATTTCGTAGGTTCTCGTCAGCCGCTTACAACCTGTCATATTTGAAATGACAATTACATAATGCGTTTAAATTACTTACATGAAAGAGTTTGGTTGGAAGTTATATTGAAGACATATTCGTATAGTATAGCAAGGGTGTAAATAAAATGAATAGACGGAATATTCTAAATGTATACCTTATGTGAGAGTACGTTCTACAACATTGATCGTGACAACAGTTCAAACGGCCAGAAACAAGTGATTATATGATGAATAAATATTGATAGGAATATAGTGAGTAGAGCACAGTTGATAAAATAAGATTATTTATTTGGCAGATAGTTTAAATAAAACTCAATGATGTAATAAATGCAGGAAACAGTTTAAGTAAAAAGAAAAAAAATGAACATGCAGCGAAAGAGTATTTGTCACCAAGGTAAGGAAAGATTAATAACTTTTTTTGAACACATAAATCAGGTTTTTGGCGTCTGATAACAACTGCTTCAGCAAACTTCAGAAGACTGGAGACTGGCTGCTTACTAATCACCTTGAGTGATTGTAGGGTATCGACCTGATGTCCTGTATCAAGGAGATGTTTGGTGATTGCACTATTTAGAGTCTTTCTTTCTCTTGTTCCGAGGCTTTTTGGAACATGTTAAAAAAGTCTGAGATATGTCCTCCTTTTGCCAATGTAGCTGCTTTGGCAGTTACACGTAAATTTATAAATACAATTGGCGGTAACATGAAAAGGATGCTTATCAACCTTTGATTGAGTTATTGAACATGTTGTTTTGTACAGAATCAGAAGTTTGGCCGCCGGATAAGTTCTGGCTAGCTCAGTATTCAGTCTCATGTTGATTGTGTTTGCAACATTATCACCTTTGAGGTTAAGATTTATAGTTATTGGTTTTTTATTGACCGTAATTACTTTATTCTTGTTTTCTTTGCGCTTTTTATATTTGTCAATAAACTTTGCGGGTAAAAGTTCTCTCGTAGGCATTTTTCCATGTTCATCAATTCTTCTTCCAGTTTGTCAGTGGTACATATCCTTTCTGTCCCATAAAATAGTGCTTTAACTAATGCCTTCTTGTAACTGAGTGAACAAAAACTATTGAAATTCAGGTAAAGGCATTCCAAGTACTTTTTTGATAGAGCGAACGTTGGACTGTTCCGTCTCTCCTACGTTTTATAGCAACATCAAGAAAGTGGAACATGTCATTCTGTTCGTGTTTTATAGTAAATTGTATGTTAGAATGAGCGTTATTGAAGAGTTTTAGCAGGCGGATTGCATGCTGTTTATTGTTACAGACAATAAACGTGTCATCAACATATCTGGAATTGTAATTTATCTGCTCATGGTTTTTTATGTTTGTGTGGCCATGTGCTCTATTATTATACAACGTAATCATACCGCCAATTAGAGAATAGTGATATGTCATTGAGACCAATGACGTATAAAATCTGTACGAACAGTCTAGAATTGTTTTCGGTTCTTCTTCCAGCCTAGCACTACCTGTTAAGTTCAGAACACTGATCTCAGCCTCCGTTATATGAATCCTTATATTTCAAACATACTGGGTTCATATACCAACCAAATAGACCATATCACACCATAAAATAAAAAATAACATTTATACAAGATCTAGTCAAAAGTGGCTGTGAATACGAGAGACCGTAATAAATAGACTGGGCATAACTCAAGAACAGTAAATCATATAATAATAGTCTATGATTCATAATAAAGCTTCTAATAAGAGGAACATGAATATGCATAGTTTAGCTACTTACTAATTATTTAATAAAAATTATATGTATCGTATTGGTACATAATTAGTTCTCAAGAGTTACCATTCATAACTGTCGTCGAGATATAATGGTTTGCTTAGATAAATAGAAAATGTATACACTGGAATAGTGCTGTAGTTGAACTTAATAAATGGGAAAACCGTTAAACAATTTAAAAACATTTACTCTTCAGCAGAAATGCAAGAAAATTATTCAATGTAGTTTTACATATTTAGTCGATTGTAATAAATTCACCGATCAACAGGTTGATTTTAAGGTTGCTTATAGAATTTATCTAAATCAATCAAGCTTTCTTCATATTCAACTACTTAAAGCAGTAGAAGCTCTTGTCCTCCAAGAAATAAAGGCTGATCTATGTGCACAAAAGAAATGTATTTTATCGTTCTTTTTACCGTATAACGGAATAACATAAGCCAAATACGAGAATGAATGCTTGAATATGTATATTTTGTACACTCGATAATCGGAACAGACAGTCAGAGAATGAAGTGAAGACGAGAGAGCAGAGAGAAATTACGCACTGTGGAGAAGCCATGTGAGCCACCTCCATTTAATCAAGCGTTAATTAATATTTATAGTTAAACGAAAATAAAGTTATGTGATGAGTAGGATAAGTGTACACACCTACGCTCATATAAAAACAGCCAGTGTTGATAAGTGAACAGTTAAAAAAAGTCGAAACGTGACTCACGATAAATGGATAAATTGGACTGTCCAGAAGCTAGAATAAGTTATGTAGGCTTAACATAGTAACTGACACTACAATTGCTTGAGATATCAATGTTTTTCATTTAACCCATGTAATGTCATTAATAATTGAGACAAAAACATTTTAGTTACATTACTCCATTCAAATAACAATTCATTGTTAATTTCCTTTCGTCCTTTTATTTACACACCATCTTTTATTGCTATTATTTACACCACATAATCTAACATCTAACAGCTGAATACAGAATCATGTTTAATCTTTATAGCAAAATTATATGTCTAGGTTTATTTTGACGCAACTTAATGAATTGATTTAATGTCACATTTGAGGCCGTATTTTATGATTGTTCTTAATGTATACAGCTAAAATGTGTTCATAAATGCACATCGATTTTTATCAGTAGTTGATATAGTAACATAATAAATATTTAAACAATGATTTCTTCTCACTTGGCATTATTTTGTCTGTATCTTTCCATTGAGGTATAAGACTGTAATTAATCAGTCTATTATTGTCATATGTGCATACTGTGCGTATGCCTCGATATTGCTTTGATTCACAAGCTTTCATAAGCAAAGATGGATAGTGGCTAGCAGTGGAATCCAGGACGTACGTTTCGTTCTATTTGGGACACACCAGCTGGATGTACTTGCATCTCAGAGTTGATGTTCACTTTGGGACTCGGACCCAGTACCATTCGCTTCAAACGCCATCGCATTATCCACTCAGTTACTGAGTCCTGATAGCCACTTGCTTGTGCAATGAGGTGAATTTAAATTCACATAGTGTTGTTTTGCTTAGGACGAAACGCGCGTCTTGGATTCCATTGTTAGTCACCATCCTTCTTTGCTTATTATGATTTCTTCTGTTCTTAACAATTATTTTCTATCATTAAAGATATAAATTTATTAATTTACGTACTATCTATTTGCCAAATAAGTATGAAAGAATATTCTACGGTTAAATTGTGAAATGTTTAATAATTATTTAAATAAATATAAATATTATGATTTAGTTTTATGAATACAGTTAAAGATAAAATGAGTTAAAGTTTGCTTTGGTTGACTTTTTCAAAGTGTCTTCAAGTGTTTAATATGCTTTTATGTTCATTATTTATCAGTGAATTAGAATCCTTACCGTTGTGATTAATTTTCCTTTTTTTCAAAAAACACGAGATTCAATGAACGGATCTATGTACGCTATGTATCATAATATTGTAATCTTTCAGTGACATCGTCTTGTTTAGTCACGGATTATATTTCCTCACGGAGTTAATCCTTAAAAGTGTATAGGGTGAGAGTATAATTTATGAATGACCTTTGAGCGACGCTTTAGTGACCTTGAGAATAATCACCTAATAACTAGGACCAAATGAGGGTTGTTAACCAATGTGAAGAATTAGAATTATGATTTATAGTTGATGGTTAAGGTTAGGAATTAGATTTAGGGTTTCCATCACGAACTGACATCAGTTCTAATGCCAAAACTCTATTTAGTCAAATGGATGAGTGAATTTCGCGCCAAAATTCAATACCTATTATCTTATATCTGATTTGTTCATCCATAAATTATAGTCTCACCGTGTACAGTTTGATGATAAATTTATTGAAACAAGATCCTTTCGCTGAATTTCATGTTTTTATCTCTTAAATGAAAACTATAAGTTTAGTATTCTTTTAACAATATAGATTCAGTTTAAGAAAATGTATCTTTGACCTTATTATATTATTAGGCATGTCAATCAGTTGAGGTGAGTTCATGTCGGATTAAAGGCATGCGTGTGGTCGCTGACTCCTAGAGACTCTTAGCTTCGTGCCCTTACCAATTATTGACTATCGTCTACGTTCCGCAATGACAGAAAAATCTAATGTATGTTGTCCTCTGTGCTGTATTTCACAATCTGGAAAACTTATCGTAAAGTGAATTCAAAAGAAATTGTTTACTCACTAGATTATATGAAACATTTGAGACTAGAAATATTTTATTTTAAAATATCTGCTAGAATGTATGTTCCATTTAAAAAGAGTCGTTAATGAATTAACGGGAAAAACGTTTAGCCATATTTGAGATGAATTTCAAAGATGTTTTAGACACTATCGACACCAATAGTACAATTATAGTGATTTATACGTATCATTATGAAAAAAATAATTTGATTTCCACTATCTTTGCGTATTTAAATTTTTTACATAATTATAATGTAATTCAATGGGACCTAAATGAAACAAGTTTATTATCCATACTAATTAACATTGGATGAAATTAGTGGTCTACATTTTAAGAGTTCGCGTGTGAGACCGAAGGTCCTGGGTTCAGATCCCGAGTATGGAATCGTGGATAGGTACTGCTAAAGAGTACCATACTTGAACGAAACAGCCGTCCAGTGCTTCCAGGTTTTCAATGATGGTCTAACAACAATCGATTCATGATCTCAATCAAAAATAATCTCCATATTATTTGTTCGTAAAAGTCAATAACAGTTAATAAGTGTAAAAAATGTATCAAATTTGTACGCTATTCTTTATGACTATATTTTATAATAATTAGGAATATTTGAGTTTTGAGCCCAAATGATCGATACATTTTTTCTTACTAATATCAGACTCTATGTTATGACTTTATGTCCGGCTTTTTATCACATGATTTATCCATCAATCAAAATACGACTTATACAATCTTCGCCCTGTGCCAAACCAATGACTTTCGATCGATATGAGCAGCCAAGCGTCCTTATTGGTCTTATGTACACCTAGCTCGTTCACTTGAGTCCAAAACACCAATACTAGCTTCCACTATGCGAACCGAATCGAATCAAATATTTCAGACATACTGGGTTTATATATCAAACAAACAGACCGCAACGCACCATAAAATAGGAAGTAACATTTGTACACAATAAAGCCAGAAAGTGACTGTGAACGTGGGAGGCAGTAGTCAATAAACTGAACATAACTTAAGAACAGTAAATCGTACAATAATAAATTATAAGTCAAAATAAAGCTTGTAATAAGAGGAATATAGATATACATAATCTAATTATTGAATAGCTATACCATAAGAGTATATAGATAATATTAGTCAATTAATATGTCTCAGAAGTTACTCGTGATTTAATCTTCGCTCAGATATTACATTCTATATGACTGATTTTTCATTGGAATATATATACATATAGTTATACTTACCTGTTGTTGTATTATATACAGTATATTGTCCAAAATTGGATAATTGAGCAGATTGATGTATTGAATTTTTATCAATTTCATTATTATTTGTTGTATTCACAATAGTACCAGATACATTAGGATTTGTTGTATGAATAAATGGTGGAATATTTGTAGAATTGAATGGATATGCTGAAAATGTAATCAATGGAATATTAGATAATGCTGAATAATTAGTCAGATCCAAATTTGGAATGGTTATATTTTTTAAATTTAACATGTGTTGTTGTATATCACATGGTGAAGTACCGTTATTATTATTATTATTGCTGTTATTAATACTTTGATATACAGGAGTTTTATGATTTATTAATGCATTTTGAATTCCTCCAATATTTGAAAAATTAGCTTGACTATCAGAGAATTGAGCATTTGTGATGTTAATCTCAGGTTTCTCTGATTGGTAACTGAAATAATTATAGTAATATTAAAATAAAAAGGAAATAAGCATTTGAACAAAGGTAAAACAAATTGTTTAACAAGAAAGCTGTTACAGAATGGTTACATGTTTTTACGTAGATTAAAACCGTATTTAATAAATCTGTGAAGCAAATATATTGTTAATCGAAGTATGAAGAACAAATCGATTTATTCTACGGAATGACCATCTTTTTTAAAAACAGAGAGCTAACTCTCATTATTATAGAACAATCATTTCACATTATAAAACATAGTTTCTTATTGTATTCTTAAATACTTACTTTTTAAACATGAACAGAACCGGTGATCCCGACACAATCGGTTCTGTGGTACAATTTCTTCCCGATAATTCTTAGACTTTGTATATCATTCTTCCTGATAACAGTTATTAAATAACTCTCAGTAGTGTGCACAATACGAAACGTTGATTACAGCTCAAATCACGAAGCGACAAACACACGAAGTGAATATGAATGAATGTGGGCGGAAAAATTAATCCATAGAATTTAAGAGGCATATATATAGGAAAGTGACTACGCCGTCAAGTGACTTAAGCAACCAGAACTTCAGCTAATAAAAAGCATATGTGTGTTGACTGTAACACGTAACCAACCATACCTGCTCATACAAGAATGATAATAATAATAATGCAGAGACGGAAACAGATTGTTAGTGGCCTAATAACGCTGTTAATTAAATAAGTTAACTGAAGGGCATGACAAAATTGAACGTATACAGATTCTATACTGTTAGCAGTTAAAAGAAGATATGTTTTTATTTTACTAAGGATTCACAAAAACAAGTTTCACTTATCCACTATGCAAGATATGTATTCAAAATAACTACAAGTGGAGTCTGTTTACCATACTTATCAAAGTTCAGTAAATTTGAAATGATATGAATATCTCGGGAATTAAGTTTAAGAAGAGATATATTTACATATCTTACATACTTGATCAAAAACCAATGTTGTCATAAGACTGAGATTTAAAATAAACGTTTTGACAACAGGGATTTATGAAACTAGAAAGTATATGATTTAAAGTTATTACAAGTTTAAAAATAAATGTCTTTTGGAGTGTTCATCTTTATAAATTCATGTTCTTGTTATGTACTAATTGTTGAAAGGTTTCAACCATATTTGAAGAATAATGCATTGTAAATTATTCAACATTTCACAAGGATGCTTAATGTCCCGTTTATCTCACTTTATGAGATAATAATACCCTATTTGATTCACAACAGTTCTCTAAATAATACTGCTCGCAATGACAGTTGTCTCAATAATTAATTGAATCTGTGTTGATCGATGTTTTAGTGTGGTATTTTGATTTGTTTTTACTATAAATGTTTATGGAGATTGCTAACATACATAGTTTATATCATAGATTGATCTTGGATCATCGCTGGAAACCAGTAATTACTTAAAAGCTATTTTAACTCCTTAAGAATCTTCTCATCACTGTGTATCTACTATTCAACCGAGGATTGAATTCATAACCTGTAGACAAGCGCTTAAATTTTAGATCACTGAGTCGGTGTCTATTAGTTTACATATTTAACACTAATGGTTGTCTAACTACGATCAGTCCATAATATAAACTATGAAATTGTGCTTTGTACTGAATTCGTTGACTAGATATTTCTGATACGAACAATTTCATAATACCAAATCGAAATAAGTGAGTTAATACACAGTATGAGCATATTTTTTTACATCATCATTGAAATGATACTTCATCATTGTTAAACAATTAATTTCCTTTCCAAAGAACAGTTTATGATTTTCGATTTTTTTCTTTTATAACTGTCTCTTTCCTCTGTGTCTCAATGTTTCCAGTTGGGAAAGTATTTGACAGATTTTTTTAAAAAAATAAAACTGTCTCCTATATATGCAAATCTATGTACAAAAAAATAAAATTGCATTTTTTTTTGGGGGGGGGGTAGTTTTTCTAATGTGGAATTTACACATTCATTCTAGTTTGTACTTGTCGTTGTGGAAATTCTAGAAAAACTTCAGTCCTCTTTTCTGTAACAATACTGGTTACAAAATAAATTGACTGATTGAAAATAGTAATGTTGAATAGATATCCAGGAAATGCATTCATAAAATATGTTCCGTGAAATAGTTGATTTTAAAACTGTGCAATAACTGAAGTCGGATGGTGATTAGCAGTGGAATTCAATACGCTCATTTCGTCCTAGTTGGTCTACGTCAAATGGCTATACTTGGATTTTAGAATTGATATTGACAAAGGGACTCGAAGCTGACGTCAACGCGTTTTCTACTTGGTTACTGAGTCCAGATAGCCACTGGATTGTACAATGGGGCAAATATTGTTTTATCTGTATTAGTTGTTTGAATCTTCGATCAGTCTGTTTTGACTCGTTTGTATCCTGAGTGGATTGCCTCTAATATTACCGTTCTGGATTGTTTCTTATGTTTTATCTAAAACAGTTAATATATATCTGTAGTCCATCGTTATATTTTCCTGTGATATTGTTATATTTTAAATAATTTATGTTTGCAAAATGTCAAATCTTTGAGTTGTTATCTATTGCATTACCTCAGCAAATACATGCAAAGTTCGTTTTTACACAATTCAATGTAGTATTATTAAGTACAATAGATAAAAACCATTCAAGCTCATTTTCAAGCCAATAATATACACATATTCATCTATTTTACAACAGTTTGTTGTAATTTAAAGTAATCAGTCCCTTTGATAAATTCGGATAAGGTGATAAGAAGACAAAGATTATTAGAGATACATGATATTTTAGCATAATACATTTTGAACAATCTGGTCACATTCCTACTTCTTTAATATGTGAATTGTTCGAAATGTATTACTCAAATATATTATATAGTTTTGATAATCTTTGCCTTCTTATTACACTATTTAAGTTTGTTGTAAACTTATATAGAAAACGTTATCAATAGTTCTATTTGACACTTAAAATCTACCTATTAGTTTATGTAGTGAAGTAATTAAATGGAGAGATATTTCTACTATATGGTTACAGTGAACGTCACCCATTCTGACAAGGGAAAGAGACAAGTATATGTTTTAATTGATGCAAATGAAATATCAGATGACGTTTTACAAAAAGTCACTAGAAACACTTACTTTTTAGCCAATTCTATAGCCGATAAACTTAAAAGGAGTGGATTGTTATCCGTTGGCGGTACAAAAGGGATTACAGTTTGATTAGTCAGCGTTCCCCTTGTAACATTATCAAGTAGTAATGCAGGTATTGGAGTATCTTGATTTGGAGTTCCAGCGAACCAGCATGTATAAGGCCATAAAGGATTGTTTGCTGTTGGAGTGACAACGGGACCGTTCAACTTGTTAGCATCTTGTAAAACATTCCTCATTGATATATGTTGTCCACTATTTATTACTTGAGTTTTATCTGTTGGTGTTATACAACTTATACTAACTGGATGTAATTCTTCAGATATATATTTCTTCGCTGGTAAGTCTAGTATCAAATTATTTTGTCTTGATGGAGATGTAAGCCAAGAACCTTGAGGTTTCAACAGAATTCCATTTCGGTCATCATTCATATTATGATTTAGAGTAGGAACAAACATAGCAGATGATAGACGCTTTGCCTGTAATGAAGAAATACAAATATTAAAAAAATATGATTAAACTTCAATCGCTATATTTTTGTCGGTGAAAAAAGTTGATTTCTCCATTTTGAAATAAAAGTGGATGCTATTGCATTAGAGATAGTCGAGTTTCAATGTTAATCCAGTGTTCGATCAATATGACCTGAATAACTTTTATCGTTCAAAGAATGGGTTTACTTTTTCTTTCAGAATGTATACTTGGAATATAAATTTCTTCGAAAAATAGTTTTCTGGTTATATCATATGTTCGTTTAAAAAAAACAGTTTCAACACTTGTATATTACTGAATTAAAGTTCTATTATATAGAAATGGTTTAGTTAACAAGTTATAATAAAAACGATGGAACAATTGAAGCGAAACGATAATAATTCATTTCATTGTCCGTGAAATGTATAAGTTGGATTGACATATGATGTAAGATCATATGACTAAAGATAATGAATGGTTGTAGTTGTAACAATTATAATCGAAGTTACCACTTATCACAGGATCATAAGATCAAAATTAGGAAAAATTATAACAAAGAGTGGGATAAGAATTAACTACTACCTGGAGGCTGAAAGCACAGGTACATTACAACGGATTACTTCAAAGGTTATAAGGAACAGTTCAACACTGAAAATTTAAAATAATGTCTTCTTTTAGTTCAACGGTAAAAATAATGTTCACAGGAGCTTGTAATTATTCAAGTTGAAAGTTTCAAGGTTGTAACATAAAATTAGGAATAAAAACGTATTGTTAAATAAATTCATATGGATAATTGGTAAGAAAGATGTGTTAATTTATAGTATTCATTCATTACTTGCGATTCGACAAATTATTGAGTTCCGAATCCATTTAGCCTTGCTAGAAATTATCACTATGTGGATTTGTGGAGATTGTGGTATTTTGACAGTTGAATTCAGGAGTCAATCTAAGCTAGATCACCACTGAATATCTGGAAGCACTGGACGGTCGCTTTGCAGTGGATGCTCATCGATGTAGAGCCTCATACTAGGTCGAAACGGCCGTTCAGTTCTTCCAGGTGCTCAAAGGTGGTCTAGCTTAGATGGACTTATTAATTCAACTACTGAAAATTGCTTAAAAATGCTTGTTTAGCTTTGAATACTTATTATATATATAAACAGGTTATATAATTTCGTAGCTATTTTCCAATTCGACAAAATCATAATTTATAGACAACCTTTGAGTAATCCTAAAGTGACCTTGAGAGTGTCCACTTAATAACCAGGACCAAATGAGGGATATAAACTATCATGAGGAATTAGAATTATGATTTACAGTTGATGGTCAAGGTTAGGAATTACATTTAGGGTTTTCATCACGAACTGACATCAGCTCAAATGCCAAAACTCTATTTGGTCAAATGGATGAGTGAATTTCGCTCCAAAATCCAAGACCTATTATCTTATCTGGTTTGTTCATAAATTATAGTCTCACCTACAATTCTTCTCTTCAACTAATAACATTATCACTGATTGAAATCATGAGTCAATTGAAGCTAGACCACCATGTAAAACCTGAAAGCACTGGCCGGCCGTTTCGTCCTAGTATGGGACTCTTCAGCAGTGCGCATCCACGATCCCGCACCCCGCGAGATCGGAACCCAGGAACTAACTTGTCTATATATATAATAAGTATTCAAAGCTAAACAAGCGTTTTTAAGCAATTTTTAGTAGTTGAATTAATAAGTCCATCTAAGCTAGACCACCTTTGAAAACCTGGGAGCACTGAGCGGCCGTTTCGACCTAGTATGAGGCTTTTCATCATGATTTCAATCAGTGAACTTTCTAAAATCTTTAAAAAACCCTTCTGATAATAATCACCTGCTCACTAGTGACTGACTTCAAGAGATACTCCTGGAGTTCTAGTGAGAAGCCGTGACCAGTGGAGTTCAACCAGGTCTGTTGTGAGATATCAACTCAGTGAAGACAATGGTGTACGGTGACGTAGCTTTATGGATTGTTTGATGTTAGACATTAACACCGTCGAATACCGGTCGGCTCAGTGATCTAGGGGCTTAAGCGCATGGCGCGACACTGGTAGGTCGTGGTTTCGAATCTCTCGAGGTGCGAGATCGTGGATGCGCACTGCTGAGGAGTCGCACACTAGTACGAAACGGCCGTCCAGTGCTTCCAGGTTTTCAATGGTGGTCTAGCTTCAACTGACTCATGATTTCAATCTGTGAAAATTTCTAAAATCTCCACAAACCCCTTCTGAAATAATTTTGTTAAATTATATAACTATGACAATTTCATCAGATTAGATTCACATTGAAATTTGTTTATTCGCATTAAAATCAAGTTTTTTTTAAAAAAAAAACAATAAGGTAGAAATATTATAGACAATATAGACGAGTAATTGGAAATTGATCAAGATCACATTCTATTCTACATTGTTTGTTAAAGCTCAAAGAAAAGGAAAACAAAAAAAACAGAGTCATCATTTCATACGTATAGGAATTGACAGACAATTAAAAAGTATGAAAATTAAAAAATATATATAATAAAAGAAAAAAAGTAACGTTGTATCACACCAAACGTTTTCTTTTCTTTTTTTGTTTTTGTCGTTTTTTTTTGTTTTTTTTCTTTTTCATTTATACAAATTAAATTTATATGGAACACTTAGACAACTTGACATGAAAATAAAATTATTAAATATTGAAATTTTAATGATGTTCAATAGGAAAAAGTTTAGTTTCTGAATGTGTACAATATTTCGCACTCTTTTCAAAATCGAAAGGAAATTTTTTTTTCTGTTTTCTTTTCGTAAGGAAATAGGAGTATTTCAGGGTGATATGTGCATGATGAGTTGTTGTTGTTTTTTTCTTCGAAATAAAGGATACTTTAAATTCATTTGGTGTTGCTTTACTTGTATCTTCCCATTGTTATCTAAGACTGAAATTGATCAGTCTCTTGTTGGCATATGGGCATCTTGTACAGATTGCCTTGATATAGCCTTAGTTCACAAGATTTTTAAGCAAAGATGGATAGTGGCTGGCAGTAGAATCTAAGACGCACGTTTCGTCCTATTTGGGACTCGTCAGATAGATGTACCTTCTATCAGGACTCAGTGGCTAAGTGGATAAGGCGATGGCGTTTGAAGCGGAGTGTATTAGGTTCGATTCCCAAAGTGGACATCCTGGATTCCACTGCTAGCCACTATCCATTTTTGCTTACAAAGGATACTTTGTTTTCAAGAAAAGTATCATTACAAACGAATATTTAAACCTTTTTTTAAATTTCCTATCTAATTATTGACCTGCAATAAATGATAGAAAAAGATTTTATGAAACTTTTTGTTTTAAAACTATTAAAAAACTGATTTATTATTAGGATGACTAGGAAGTTTTCGACGTGTTTTTGATTTATTGCAATATTTGAAAAAAAAATTATTGCTTTACATTTAGAAACCGAGTTTATACGAAACGTTTCATAGTATAGGTTAATATGTTAGTTAGAGAATAACGAACCTATTTTATATATATATGAATTCACTTACTAATCCTTGTTTATTGCTAAAGGTTGGTTCTTTACCCCATGAACATTTACAGGCTTGATCACCGACAATTTTACCATGCATTGTAACAATTGCTTGAGTAGCAGCCACATGTGAATCGAATCTTTTAAAAGATGAATAGAGAAGATTCAAACACATTATTTAGATATTAAGATGTTTATTAGTAAAGCTAAGTACTTTCACAGATCAAAATCACATTTTGTAGCACATAATCTTATGAACGCTGAAACTTAGTGAACTATTGGTTAAACATTGGAAAATAATTTTTCTCAAAAATTTCATAGCAACATTTGAACTGACAGCTGGAAGAGGTATTTCGTGTAAAAGTCTTTTAACAGAGCTGAAATATTATACTCACACAATAAGATAAATGAAGAATTGGCTATTTTTTAGAAATAATCTTATTAAAAAACTGGTATCTAAAAAATTTACGACGTAATATAGAATAGAACATCCTGAACATAAACAATAAGCAATTGTTTGCACGAAAACCAGTATATATCCCTCTCTGTCTAATGGAGATGAGATCATGATTTTATGATGGAATCACGGCTGTAATCCAAAGATGTTTTCTTGCTGCTCGAACCGTTTCGCTATGCAACACCCCAGTGTATGCTATGTCATTCAAAAGTAGATCAACATCATCCATGGATTTACATGTTTGTGATTTAGCAAATATCTAGAGAGGACGGAAAGAACGGATTTTATAGGCGAGTTCTTAGGAACCTGTTTTTGGACGGTGGTAAAATCGTCAAAAGTGCAATTTTAAGATATCTTTCGAATAGTTAAAAAAGAGTGGAGCCCAGTAGTGCATTTAGAATAATTAACAAACTATAATCATCATTTTACTTCGTTTTACAGTGACGATCGCTTACAGACATTATTATTACAAACGCACCAATATATGGGCATCTACTTGTAGCTATTTTAATGTTTTCTCATGGGTTTTTCATTAGAGTAAGCAAATAGGTAATGCTTTGGTTTCGGTGTGCTATTAATGTAGTTTTTGAACGGTTGAAACAAACTACGTTTTTTATTTTCATTTTGATATTAATTAAAATCAAAATTCACAGAACAAAATTCGTTGTCAATCTACTACTTCAAATCAAACTTTGTTGATTAAACAAAGTTCAATGTAAAACAGAAATTATGAATATTATGCACAGTAGTCAGGGAAATCTTACAAAACATTTACTCTTAGAAATAGTTGTCCTATTTATGTCTTCGTAGTTTATTTTTCTACTTTATTTCGCGGAACAAAAAGGCACTTATCTTGTACCTCCCTAAAAAGGTATGTGCTTCAAAAGAAAAGATGTTTCTTTCATCAATCAAATTCATTTCAAGGTATTCAACTGTAATTAGAGTAATTCATTGAAAGTGGGATTTTAAGTTACCCATTTGTAGTGATTGATTCAATTTCAAAATAAACTTTATTGTCATCTAATATGAAATAGATAGCCAATAAACATAAACATATACTGGAGTAGGGAATTAAGTAATTCATCGTTTCCCCCAATATCGAACCTACAGAGTATCAGTTATAACAGTGAACCCTATATCAATCCGTTGATCATTGCTCAAGTGATAAAAAATGTAAAACAATTAGTCCCTCTGATAAATTTCGATAATGTAATTAGAAGACGAAGATCATCAGAACTATGTGATATATTAGCTCATTACATTTCGAACAATCTGGTCACACATATACTTGTTAAGAGCATTTATATATAAAAATAAATGGTCAACTAGACTGAAAACGGGGTAAGAGGAGATAAGGATAATGATAAAAGTAATAATCATAATGTGAACACAATTGAAAACCTAATCCCTCTGGATAATAAGTCAATATTACCAAGGTAGGTTTAGGGCTAGAACAAACTGTTTTTGAACACACAAAGAGGGGTTTGAATTTTCGTATGTATTTATACTTTGTCAGATAAAATAATGATAGATTCATATATTGGCTCCTCTCCATAAATAAATGTTATTTTCATATTTTTTTTGTTGGAACCCCTCTAAATGTTAAACAGAATGGAAAAACTTTTCCATACAGATAATTATTCAAAAAGAAGAACCTAATCATCCAAGTTATAACATTTTTTGTCCATTAACAAAACGAAATCAAATGGAATGAAACTCTTGACTGGAAATAAACTACATATAAATCAGGTTAAAAGAGCATATATGGACGAAATGGGTTTTATCTTTCTATAAGATATAATCGTTCGAATATTATTAGAACATTATTATTGTTACAAATTTATTTTAAAAAAATCACTCATCAACTAAGTAGTAAATTATGTTTTAATAACCTACATTCAAATTGACCTCATTAAAATGATCAATGGTTTCAATTAGGGTGTCTTTTTTTATTTCTTATTGAATTATGTTCCATATAACAAATATGTTTCGTTTTATTTATTTATTTATTTATAGAGATACACATTATCACAACTAATGTTAGTGAAGTGTAAAGTTAAAATGAATCATTTATGAGTACTTACCTGATAAATGAAAAACCTTTATTCTTAAATATCCTAATTTCTTTTATTTCACCAAATTGTTTAAATGAATCTTGAAGAAGTTTTTCTATGAAAAAAATGAAGAATATAATATAAAATAGATTTTATTATATTAAATTGTTAAAGCAATCCATAGTGTCATTGAATAGGAAAAAGAGAATTCAGGGAAGAAAATTTTCTTTTTGACGAAATCATTTACTGAAGCTGTACATACGCATATATATATACTAGTTCTATACAGGAGCATTTAATTAATTTCAGGGGGGGGGGTTTGTAAAGATTGCAGTAATTTCAACAGTTTAGATCATGAGTCAGTTGAAGCTAGACCACCATGAAAAAACTGGATTAGTTGAGGTTAGACATTAACACCGTTGGATGTCATCCCGCTCAGTAGTCTAGTTGGTTAAGCGGTTGTGCACGAGACTGATAGGTTCTGGGTTCAAATCCCGCGAGGCGAGGGCATGGATGCGCACTGCTGAGGAGTCCCACAATAGGACGAAATGGCCATTCAGTGCTCCCAGGTTTTCCATGGTGGTCTAGCTTCAGCTGACTCATGATCTCAACTGTTGAAATTTATTTAACTGTGGACACATCGCTCCAAAAGATTCTTTTAAAGTAATCTACAGAGTCAAAGGAACTGGATCAAAGGGGTGTGGAATCAATATTTTATGCACTGCTGAGGCATTAGCAATCCACGAACTCAAGCCTGAACTTTAGCATAATCTCAAGTTTCATTGGTCATATTAAATTGATGTGATATTACACGCAGATGTATTGTTGCGCTTATGTTGATAAATGGTTGACTATTTATCTATACTTGAGAGAGTTGTAACAAATGAACTACAGTATATATTCTTGAAATTGTAACCATGACGTAAAAAGATTATAATACTAGTTTACGTAATACGAATAATAATAATAACAATAGATTTAGTGAATAGAATAAGATGATTAAAATGTCAGAGGTGTAAAAAATAAATATGGAGATATGATGAGCATTTACGAATAAAATAATGAGATTATAAGACATAAGTAAAGGAGGAATGCAGTAAAAAAAAATAATAATAGGATAATCAAAATAATTAAGGCCAAGGTGACGATAACGATAAGACGTACTTCTTTTGTACGCATAGTTCTGGTTCAAGCTCCTGGATGACAAGAGCTTCGGGTATTTTTTTAAGAGTTGGATACAGTGAAATATGAGTAGATTTGAACGAATTATATAAACAACCTTAAATTCATTTTTCGGATCTGTAGAATGGTTACAGTCGATTAGGTGTTCATATTCCTGCTTGGTTCTATAAGGGGGAAAGGAAAGCACTTAGGAGTTCTATACTTGAACAACTAATCGACTATAACCATTCCACAGATCCACAATTTGATTTTAAAGTTGTTTATATGATTCGTTCAAATCTACCCAGATTTCTTCGCATCCAACTGTTAAAAATAGCCTAAGCTCTTACCATCCAGGAGCTTAAACCAGAACTATGCGAACAAACGAAGTACATCTTATCGTTATCGTCACCTTGGCCTTAATTATTTTGATTATCCTATTATTATTATTACTGCATTCCCCCTTTACTTATGTCGTATATTCTCATTATTTTCTTCGTAAATGCTCATCATACCACCATATTTATTTTTTACACCTCTATGACATTTTAATCGTCTTATTCTATTCACTAAATCTATTGTTATTGTTATTATTCGGATTACGTAAACTAGTATTATATTCTTGACATTTACCAATTCAGCTGTTTTACTATAACAGTTAGGAACAGACTATTATGCTCAATTAGTATTATTTCGAAGTTAAATCATATCAAATATTAATAGTTTCATACGTTAACTATCTAACTGGATTCAATAAATGACATTTCAATTTTCATTATTATATGTTCTCACTTCTAATGCAAAATGAATTGGTTATGGTGTGAATGACTAAGGTAATAAACAATCAGGTTTAAACAAATTTGACATTTATCATTACATTTTTCTATTGTTTGTTTGAATCTTCAAATCAATGTTTAGGATTGTAGCTGATCAGTGGGAAGACTTAAACAAACAATACTAAATAAATCAAAATTTCACCCCATTGCAATAGGTAGTAGCTATATGGACTTGGTAGCTAAGTGGAAAGGTATTATGTTCAAGTCCCACAGTGATACATCAACTCTATGGTGCAGGTACATCCAGCTGATGAGTCCTAGATAGAACGAAACGCACTTTCTAGATCCCACTGATAGCCACCATCCATCTTTACTTATTATTACTTTGATAGGAGGATAAAACTACATTAGTTAAATATCCCTTAAAGGATTTTTTTAATATTAAGAGACTTTGTGCAAATAAACAAAGTATTAAATTTCCAGCTTATTTTGTCAGCCTACGAAATTCGATTATTGAGGTCTTATTTTACATCTTTTAAGTTTCTCTACAAAATAGTTCGTAACGATTTACAAGAACATTTGCTTGTTTAAATGTCTTTCTATTATTTATTATAATGAAAAGTTATTATCATATTTTAGTGTAATCAATCATCGTTTTCTTTGGTATTCAAATAATTAAGTGACATAGATAATCGATTTTTGATAGGCTTGAAATATACTAAAGCCTATAAACACAAATGTCAACAGCTAGGAAAATGAATTGTTCTGGAACATTTGTAACATAATGTCGTTTATTGGGAAATAGTGTTAACTTAAGAGATGTCTATAAACTTGCTAAGATGGCATTAAAGAATGACAACTGACTGATGAAAATCTTTTTAAACACTAGCAAATTAATGGACAAAATATTAAGTAATGCAAGGGGGTTATAAGTTGAGAATATACTGAACAATATGTTACCGTAAAATAACAGTCACATTGCATACCGTCACATTTTAGCATATTGCTTCGTAAAATGAGGTCCCTTAATTTAGATGGTAGGAAATTTATAACAAAAAGGTGAATTTATATATGAATATATATATATATATATATATATATATATATATTTCTAGGTATTGTTCGCGATCTTGTTTATGAATAGTTAACCAATCCGCGAAATTGCGCCACTATGGATTGATTGAAGTTAGATATTAACATCGTTGGATGCCGGTTCAGTGGTCTAGAGGTTAGGCGTTTGCGCTCGAGAACAAAAGTTCTGTCTTCGAATCTCGCGGGGTGCGGGATAATGGTTGTGCACTGCTGAGGAGTTCATTACTGGGAAAAAACAGTCGTCTAGTGCTTCCAGGTTTTCCATGGTGCTTTAGCGTTAATTGACTCATGAATCCAACTATTAAATTACTACAATATCCACCAAAGTCCCTCTCTGATAATATGAATATTTAGTTGATTACAGATAACTCTGCATAGATTACCTCTGAAGCTACTATATCGGATCGGAACCTGAGTATTGAAGGAGGTTTGAGAAGAGGATTAAAAACCACATCTGGGGAATCGCACCCCATTTCAGAATCGCCAGTGAGAATAAATTACTTAAACTCTGGTTTTCAAGTTGTAGGCTGTTCATGTAAAAATGATATGATAGAACATATTGAAAACCAGGTTGGTTATATATAACATCTATATACTTCCATCCATTTTAATTTAGTCACGAGTATTTCAACTTATTTTCTCCTTTCAAACACTATTTCCTACTTGTGAATACATAAAACTACTCTTAATAAGATATTCAAGTTAAAATTAAACTAAATTAGCATAACCTATGCATCTATTTAACTCACTCATATAATTATCAATAGTATAAATAGATTTTCTAAATTATTTTAATGATATGGCATTGTAATTCAGTTGGTTACTATAAAATCAATTTAGTGATTATCGATTTTAAACAAAACAACAAACAAAACAAAAGAAACAACAACGTAGTTTCAAAATTTATTGATCACTGGGTGGCGATCAATGTCATGCGTGTCTAGTCCTTATTAGTGGAGATCGAATGCTATCGATCATGGCCACCAGTCTAGGTGACTCGACACTGCGGGCACTATATATTGAGATCACCACCCAGTGATCAATCAATTGTGATTACATCTCAATCCAACAGGAGGTCAGTCGCGGCTCGAATAGCTCAGTGGTAACGTCTCTGACTGTGAAGCTGGGTGACATGAGATCGAATGCGCCACGGCGCACCAGTTCCCTCAAGATTACAGATACACCTTGCTGACGAGTGCCAAGAAGCACGAAACCTCGGTCCAGGATTTCCTGTCGACTACGTCCAACCACCATCTAATCTCAACAACGTAGTTTCTTTAAATCTCATTATATAAACACTTAAAGAAAATATTATATTTTTCCTTATTGTTTAGTGCTTAATAAAAATGAATTACATTTTCTTTTAATTGATAATCATTTTATAGTTAGTTTATTTAAACAAACTGTAGTTTTGTATATGTACATTATCAGTATACTGAATGTATAACACCCATAATTATAACTCATTAGAGTTATAATTATGATTGGTTATTGAATTTTAATTATAGAATTATAATTTAAAAGAAATAAAGGAAACTAAATGATTTCCTATTCATTTCAGTATATAAAAATGAAGTTCATTTTTCAATGAAGTAGAATAGGGAGTAATAGAAAACTATAAAATGATAATAAACCTAATCACATTAATAAAATTACAAAAAAATAATCAATAAAAATCCCATTTATATATACATCTATACACACACACACAAAAGGGAACTAAATATTTTCATTTACCAGTTAATTCATTAGTTATACCACCAACATAAATTGTTGTATTTGCAGCAGATGATGCATTAAATACTTCTAAGTAATTTAATGGACGATGATCTAGAAGAGAAAGAAAAAAGATAAAAATAATAATCAACGAAAAAAAAATTAGATAAATTAACGAGGAAAAAAAAGAACAAACATTGAAAAATAATAAAAAGAAGAACAACAACAACAAAAATCGAAGTGAGAATAATTTAATTGAAAAGCTTTAATGAATCTACTTTTAATCTCATTTAGTATGTTCATAAAGTTTAATACAATGTTACTTGAATTTATTCTATATTTCAATCTTTATTCATGGATTATTATCAAGAATTGATTAGAGTTAGAAATTAAATAAAGCTAGAACAAATATTTGATGCAGAATAATAATGAACTCATTACATTTCGTGGTTTCTCGTAAGCTGCTAACAATCAAATATGTATTGGAATTTTACATTGAGATAAGAAATAATATGGAACAATTGACATGAGTGAATGTAAAGGATTAGAATGACAAAGGTTATCAATGATGACTATATATAGTTATAGAACAAGTTAGAGGTTATTTGATGTTGGAATTAAGGAAACATTAAGGATGGGTGGTGTAATAATTGAGTGAGGTTCAGAGAGACATAAGATAAATTGTGTGATAACTTTTAGAGGTAATGAAGGGTTTACATAAGATTCATGGAATTAAAAACAGTTAAGATGGGTTATGTAATAATCGGATAGAATTTGAAGAGTTCACAGAATTTAAGAGAATCTAGTGAGTCAAAATGTATGAGTGAAGAGGTGGTTTAAGAATTCAATAGTGGAAGAGGAATATAACACAAGGTCTCTCACAAGTGCAATAGATCAGCATTTGCTCGACACCGGGCATACCATTGACATTCCTCGTGCTTTTAAAATGATTACCAGACAAAGAAATACGGCTTTTATCCGTTTTTCTGAAGCGATCGCGATAAAAACTCAAACTGGATCTGTGTATTCAAAAAGTGACAGTAATAAACTTATTACTACCCTGGTAATTTATATTTTATTTTGTTAATGTTTAGTTTGTGTTATATTCCTCTTCCATTACTGAATTCTTAAACCACATCTTCACTCATACATTTCCACTCACTTGATTCTCTTAAATTATGTGAACTCTTCAAATTCTATCCAATTATTACACCACCCATCCTTAATGTTTACTTGATTCTAACATCAAATAACCTCTAACTTGTTCTATGACTATATATAGTCATCATGGATAACCTTTGTCATTCTAATCCTTTACATTCACTCATGTCAATTGTTCCATATTATTTCTTATCTCAATGTAAAATTCCAATACATATTTGATTGTTAGCAGCTGACGAGAAACCACGAAATGTAATGAGTTCATTATTATTTCGTATCAAATATTTGTTCTGGCTTTATTTAAATTCATAAGAGGGACTAATGGCATGAAAGTGTTAGAAATATTAACCATTGGATTTTAACTTGTTGGTTTACCATTATCATTAGGCACCATTGATAGGATCATGGTTTTTTAAATATACAGTATTAATTCATTGAAGTCCTTAAAAATTATAAAATGTTTTCCTGAAATTTTTTTTCACCTATGGTTAGTTCAGTAGATTGATCGGTGTCTGATAGGTAGTCTGATATTATATGTTTATTAACTATAACATCGGTATGTTACAAGTTGTTTTGTGTTTTGTTTTTCAAGTCTGGAAACATCACAAAAATGGTATAAGTCTGACATCTGACAATAAACAACATGGCTTTAAACGAGTAATAATTTCTTAAATTCCAAAAATGTACTAACAAGACAAAAGATAATTTTAAAAAAATGTTGTGTAATTATGAAATGCATTTCGAAAACCCTGGTCACAATTTACTTTTTTGTAGTTACCGCCACTATTTCTGATAAACTTAAAGGTGACGGAATTTCAAATAACTTTTTGATACTTCTGCAAAGATTGTTAGGGATGAATTTTAAAATTAATGAATTGTGCAACCTCATTTGAGTTTTAAAAGTGATTTGTCAACAAACTGAGCCTAGTCTGGAGATTCTTAGTTTACATTTTATGATAATTTAATATTGCGCTTAATTATTCTTTAAGTTTTCATGTTAAATGTTTCAATAAGTAGACTTGTGTTTATGATTATGATTACAAAAATGACCTTCACAAACCAATGGAAATTTTCGTTCTAAATTTGTATATTATAATCCTCATAATATGTAGTGTTTGTTTTTCCAAAACTATTTGATTTAGCTTCTTGTGATTTTCTAAAGGAGCAAATTTCTGTTTGAAGCCTAATTAGTTAACATTTACGAACCCTACATTCTCATACAGTAATAATAATGGCATTATTTATTTAAATAGATGAACTTTCGTCTTTCAATTATTATTTATTTATTTGAACAGATAAATATTGGTACAAGAGCGCACCAAATACATATGCGCCACACAAATCTCATTCGATTTGTATGAGGTCTGGGATACTGCCCTGGTGCTCAAACCGAAACAAATGGTTTTCTTAGGAGGCCACACTCGGAATCTTTGACCTAAAGGTCTGATTCACAAGGCAGTAGAGCATCGTAAGGAGATGCAGTCCCATGGTTGCCGGTGACCAACGATTGGTTCATACGCCTTTTATTTTTTCAGGATTCTGGAGCCCATGTGCACCATCGGTTTGGAATCAGGGTTTTCCAACTCCCCTGGTTGGACCCTACATATCCACTAACCCGGTTAAAGCTCCTGACATTCGCTTTTCGCTCTTTCAATTTCGTGAACAACATTACTGGTGTGAGACGGAAGTGAGTAGGACTTCCCTGGCAGAGGCCAGGGAAATTTGAAGAAACAGATTAACAGTATTTAGGCGCGGAAGACACTATTATATTAGATAATTTCGATGTTTGATTATATTTCCTTGAGAAATCTTGGATCAGATTGTCAAGAAAAGGTTGGATTTACTTCAAATTCATTCGCTGATATTTTACAAATACAGTCTTCCTCCTTAATATCGTTCTTATAGCTGTGAATTACATCAACGCGTTTCAGAGTTGACCGAAAACATACAGTGTTAACAGTATCCAGTTATCGATGTCTACTTCAACAAAGTATCCAAGAAAAACTTGATAGCCTTAATTTATCGAATCTGATAATTTACCACAATTAATATTGGAATATATCATTTCATTTGATTTAGAATTGCTATGATAAGAACTATCAGTTTCCAATCCATTAATAGGTTTCACCATAATAAGCTAATAGAACAACAAGTTACTTCAGGCCCATAACAAAATTTGTTCCTTAAATTATAATATTTGTTCTGTCGAACTATTGATGAACATAGTCATATTATTTAAAGCAAGACAATGTGCTTAATAATTTTTTTAATAGAAATATAAAAAGTCTATAAAGTTTGGGTGAATATCGAAAGGGATCAAAAAATATATACCACTATGTAAGTTTATACATAAACCAATGCTTCAACAAATGAAAAAGAATTTTCAAAACTACTAATGATCAGGAAATAGTAATTTATAGTAATCAATGAAACTTATAGAAGGTTCTAAGGGATGTACATGTAAGTCATTTATAGATAGATGGAAAATATTTAAGTAGTCATCTTAATGAGATTGATTAAATGCCACATTAGTCTTTAACATTAAGGACATACCGATCTCAGTGGTTCTAATAAGCATAAGGATTAGTTTACCCTGTAAAACGCTTTTCTTCACATCTATATTAATGTAGGATAACAATCATAAGGCAAAATGTTTCTGTTATCTTCATTAATCTTGAGATGATTAAAATGAATTATAGCTCAATAATTTATACTAATGATGTTATCTAAACAGACAATGTAAACTTCACAATTAAATGATTCAACGCAATACCTGGACAATTCTAAATCCTTAATAGTACAAATGAGAATAGATTTAATCTTGCCTTATTCAGTAAAGCGTAGTTTTTATGACATATCAGTGTATTACATCGGTACAACGATTTCTTTAAAGTAGAAAGTATGAATTCAAGCTCTAATAAAGTCTCATAATACATTGTTTTGTGTTTATATTTATGTGTGGAAAGTAACAATAACAATGAATTGATGGTGTTAAAAACCTCTAAAAAGATTGATGGTTGAATTTATGTTATATATATACACATATATAATCCTCTAAGTGCTACTTGTCTAAATGAACGGCACGGAAGAACAGAAAACCTTTTTATCACAATAATTATCTATCAGATATTGTTATTATCCTCACGTAATTATTAATATTCCTCCACTTAAAGTACTGGGTTAGTCATCAGTAGAATTGAACAGAGGCTAGTAGTGGAATTCATGTTTCTTTATATACGGGACTCATTTAGTGGTTTTGTTATGTATCCCAATATTGATGTCCACACAGATATTCATGCTTCTCCACTTTTACTTTGAGCATAAAAGTTTTATTCACTGAATTATTGATTCAATATAGTCAGATTGCTTGAGAAACGGTTTACATTTTACCTGTAGAGTACTACATTTGAGTCTTAGAATGAACATCATCATTGAGATTCGGGTACATTCATCAGACCCATCGCGTTAAAAAGGAAACTCGCGTACCATTTTCCACTGCTAGCCAATATTTAACAAAAATATGTCACCAAATGTCAACCATATGTTATCAGAGACTTATCATTTGCAGTACTTAGTATCAACAACAAGAAAATACAAACCTTTAGAAACTGGGTACTTTATTTGAAGACGTTTTGTAATTTCTCTTTGTTGATATTTTGGAATGTCTTTGATCAACCACTGTTAACATAACTTCGCCTCAATTAAATACCTCCTAAACGTTTGTTACAGTAATATTGTTATATTTTTTGGATTATAGTTGGCAGTAGACTCGAAGACATACATTTAGTTTATAGAGGGACTTTTTGTAGTGAACAGGGACACGGGTGACGACAATTGAATGTACTCAACACAAAATTATAGGACTTGTTAATAAAATCTAACAATCATAAAGTAATTAATTTGCTTAATTTGCAAAATTTCCACCAATTGTCTCAAAAGCACTCAGACTTCACTGATCTTTCATTTTCATACAAATTGCATCCTGTTTCCATTCTTTACTGTTCGATCCTCTTTTCTCTCTGCTGTCAGACCTTTTGTTCACGACTAACATCATATACTACTTATGTCAATATAAGTAGCACACACCACATTTTCAATAAACATAAATTTAGTTTATATATCGATCAGCGTAAGCTAAAAGACAGTGATTATTACTAGTGTTTATGGTACATCACTGAGGTATATGATTTAATAAAATAATAGCTGGTATCATGTTTTGATTGAATCTACAACACAGTATTATATACATATATAGAAAGATATTGTTAAAAACAGAACTTATGTAACTATAATTGTCCATTAGTCGAGCTATTATTTGCTAAAAATGTTTCAGATCGTTATGTTTTGTAGACTTGAAAAAGGAAACTTTGTTTAGTCGATTTATATCCTTTTATTACTGAAAGGATTCATTTACTTAGATGATCAGTTAAAACATTTCAAAGTATATCTGAATAATTTAGAAACTTCTGTGGCTTAGTTATTATACTAAGATATTTCTAATATTTATCTCATTAATAATTTACTAATGCTACTAGTCATGATATCTGTAAAATAAAAACAAGCATCTAATTCTAAGTATATATATATACCTACCTAAATACACAAATGATAGGTTATACAGTAACTGAATATCTGTAATTGTATATATCAACCAACTGCTATCGATTCCAGTTGTGGTTTTGCAGGGTTTTTTTGGAACTTCTTCTCTGAGATTACTTTAGATAAACTCCACCATTTAAAGTTTTACATGATTATCTTTTGTTTAAGATTGTCTGTCTGTCAGCTGTTAGCTAACAGTAATATGTTACAAAGTGGTGGTTTAGTGGTCAAAGATGGTTTTTCAAAAACCAAGTCTCAAGTTTGAATCCCATGTAACTTGGATTATTTTAGACAATCATCGGCCAATGTGGCCTGTTTGAATATCTGAACTACTTGTTCCTGCCATCTGGATATTTCAACAAGTTATCTGTTTTCTTGTTTGTTTTAACACATCATTATGCCTATTAGTTTCATAACTTATTCAAATGCGTTTGTTGTAGCCTAACACATTTCGTTATACAAGTTACAAAAGAGCCTAATCAGAGACACCCATATTGCTGGCAATATGCATAGAAAAGAAGATACACTATTCAGATGTCGATTCCTGAACTACTAACGTCTAAATGGCGACCACTCAATATTTATCTCCAGGATCGATCAAGAAATAATAAAAGGAAACCTGTTCAAATACGTCCTGCTGAGAAGTCTGTATTGTACCAAAAATATGATATTGAATAAAGCCACCAATAATAAAATATCAGTTTAGAGGTTGTGGAGATTGTTAAGTGTTTAATTGAGATCATGAACCAATTGATGTTAGACCACCATTGAAAACCTGGAAGAACCGGACGGCCGTTTTTTCCTGTTGTGGGACTCTTCAGCAATCAGTTCATAATCTCAACTAAAAACCTTACAATCTCCACGACTCCTAAACTGATAATTACCATATGCTCAATAGTGACTATCTTCGTGAGAAAATTCTCGGAGTTCTGGTGGGAAGCCGTGACCAGTGGAGCTAGTCCGTGTCGGGTAGAAACAGGTGTCCACCTCAGTACTATGGAAGATGGTCACTCAATTTCATGGATTGGTTGGGGTTAGACATTAATAGCATTGGGTGCCGGTTCAGTGGTCCAGTATGTTAAGCGTTCGCGCGCGAAACCGAAGGCCCTGGGTTCAAATCCCGCGAGCGGGATCGTGGATGCGCAGTTCTGAGGAGTCTCACCATAGAACGAAACGGCCGTCCAGTGCTTCCGGGTTTTCAATGGTGGTCTAACATCGATCGGTTTATGATCTCAATCAAAAGATAATAAAATAATAAAATATAAAAAAAATAAGATGGCATCACTTGTCCCCGTGCATTAAAAATGTCCCTGAAAGGAGTGCACAAAAGTGTATTTAGCAAAGAAGTTAATGTGTATCAAATCATTTTAATGTTATAGAACTTTAAGTGACCCTAAATCTAACTTCATTTGGGTTGTATGAATGATTGTTATTGAAATATACATGTCACCAATCCTCGAATATAATCATCGACCTAAATCGCGTTGGTGAATAACGGAACTAAATATGTCAAATACGGGAGTGGATTTTAGAATACGTACATTTCGTACGATGGTTGATCAAAAAACGAAGCAAAACGAAATGACGAGCGGTGGAGAAGGCAATTTAATTTAATCAAGCGTGAATCGATATTTATACTCAGATAAAATTAAGTTATAAACATGTGATGTGTAAGATAAGGAATGCACACACATACGCTTTAGTAAAATGTCAAGGTTGGTAAGCGAATAAGTGACAGGATAAAAATGTGGCTTGAAAAGAATGAATACTTGATTTCCAGAGAGGCTAGAATAACCTACGTGGGATTGACATAGTGTCAACCCTTACAAGCTTTCCAATACTCTTTAGACGAGTGATTTGTGAAATCCGATCATTTGAAAATATAGGTCGGTCGAAAACAAATCAACTTGTAAAAGTGACTCAATTATAACATGGGAATGGTTTTAGATATAACTCACCTTTAGCTTGATCTGCTGGATCTTTACGTACTGCCCAGTTTGTTCTTATTGCTCTTGTTCCAATAATTTGACCGTTCATGATACGGATAGCACGTTCAGCTTCCTATTTTTAAGAAATGTTATTAAATAGAGAAATAAATTTATTGTAGTAAAGATGACTCTTGAGAAATGGATTTCGTTTAAGAGATTGACTATTATAAATGTCTCCCTTTGAAAGACATTCGTTCTTTTGAGTCACAATAGTTAAGATCACTATTAGACTGAACAATGTAAGACGAAAATATTTACGGACAAATGATTCGGAGTAATTTTAACTCCAATTATGTTAAGAATATTGTAGATAAATGTGATAGAAAAATATTTTGAAAAGCATCACTGTCTGATACAATTTTTTTTAAGTACCCCTCTTTGAACAACATAACAGTCAATTTAGAGGACAATAAAGTTCACTAAAATGTAGTGGAGTAAGAATCTGAGCTAGCTCTACATATAGTTGGATGGGTAGGGAGTTCAAAGTACTCGTACCTCTTCGATTTATCTAATTTTAATATAATTTACTCGAGTAAAAATTCACAGTAAATATGTCGAGGTAGAATGATTTTCAGACAATGCTTACTTGAGTTCCGTTATTGTTCATTTGTTTTAAGCTACAGCACGTTACGGAGCTTAAGCGGGTTTTGTTATCCAAAACTTTGAAACTAAGATTTTTTCATTAAAACAAGTGATGGAATTAAATATGTATGGTGCTTTTCTTTAGCTTACCAAGTTTTCCAGTCTTGAGAGTGAACCTTTTATTCCATAGAGAAAGTTACTTTAGATAAAGACATTTATTCAAAGTACTAATTTCCTTAATATGATTTAGTCGTTACCCAGATGCAAAAGCTATCAAAAATGATTTCCCCGAGTTTTCACAATGTGTTCGTAGATTTATCTCATGGTTGACTAAGCTTTATTATGTGATGATAACTTATGAACCATATATAAGAAGATAATGAGCAATAATGGGATTGGTATAATATAAGTGCATGTTTTGTTTAGTGCGTCAGTCGTTTTCACTATATGATAAGATGCGAACACTTCCTTATCAATACCATGTGATTCAAGCACTCAACAAAAGCATCATTACAGCTAGCATTAAAATGCATGCCACTTTAAACTGTTCCTGGAAGTTGATTTGGTAAACTCTTTGTATTAATCGTGATTACTTTAGAGGTATAATGAAGTTACAGTAAACTATGATTTTACTTAGAAATCCGTAAACTATTAGACATTGAAAAAACGAATTTACAAAGCACAAACTTTTTATCTAACCCTTTTTGTGAGTACCTACTTTGTACTTATTGAATAGGGTGTAGGAGAACTTCGTGATATTGGTGGTCTGTATGAAAATAGCTTTATTTCACAAAATGTATTAAAATAAAACAGTGAACCCTTGAATCGTAATTACTGAAATTTACGGTGATTCTGAATGCTAAGGGGTTTTTAGTGGTTTTTCTGCTGATATTACTGCGTGATGAAACTTTAACTTCTATATCATTTCAACAATATGTGTTGAGTAAAACAAACTTTCTTTAATACTTTGGTTATAAATCTGTTGTTAATTTACAAACAACAACTTTTACGAAAATCACTGCATTGTTAGTCACTGATTCTCAAAGGTGCCCTAATGTTTTCCTTATTAAAAAAAACTTGATTTGAGATCAGTCACAACTGATTACCTGGATACCAAGCGATGACCTACTGACTATATTGTCAATAAATGATTTGTTTCCGGTTTGACGTTATTGGATTCTACATTTTGAACGTCTGAATTGTTATACAAAATTTTTATCGTTTGCAACAGATCTTTGACGAAAAGGTTTGTCTTTTTAAAGGGAGAGCAATTTAAACTCATGAATTCAAATCGCATTGTATTTTGGGATGTTTGGAATATTTACAATTGTGTATGTATAGTTAGTTTACAATAATATAAAACATATTGACGAGTAGTTAAAAATTGGTTCACGACAATCAATAACAATATTAAAACGGATATGTATAAACTTCGGCGGAATTCAGTCAAAGCTTACTTGTCTTGTTGCATAGGCCACAAATCCATATCCTTTCGGCTTCTGTGTATGCATATCCTTGATGATTTTACATTCTCTAGATTAAAAGTTAACAAAAAAAACCAAAAACATGTTTAGGATATTTTTAAGAAGTCAATGTCAAGTGACTTCCATGAAATTTGTTCCATTTGGATTAACTAGCCTTATATATATAAATATCATAATCCCAAACAGATGATTGGAAGTCTTAGAATGTGAAAAAGATCGTACCAGAGGTGATGCAAACGGTTATTGATGATATAAAATAATTATGAAGCTTCATCGCAAATTGATGAAACTGAGAAATATATGTAGCTGAAATTTAACAAAATATTGTTGTAATTCAATTGTTTCGACATTTTTAGCCTATGTCAGTATGTGATCAAATCTCCATTAAAGATAAACATCTTTTTGGACAAGGTAAGTTAGTTCCGAAGAACAATACTAATTCTACTATCTTTTAAGTTGAAAAAGAGAATCGATCGATTAACTACCGTTTTAAGCACTCACTCTTGAGTTTTTACATATGAAGACTATGTGGAATCCCTGAAACTAGAGCATGAAGACAATTGTGGACATAGATTCCGCTGAAAAAACGTCGAAATTCTGAATAATGTATCCTAAAAATGACAGAGAATTCCTAAAAGCATGTCACTCAGATCAAAGGGAGACAAGATTTGACAAGATCTGTCAAATCATTCGACAAGGATCAATCTTAAACCTGGTCACAAGTCAACAGAGCAAGGTTATTAACTTGAATACAAGGTTAGATGAAAGTAGCAAACCTTACGATAATAATTAATTTCAAACAAGGCCACCAAAAAATATAATTGAAGGTTAGTGGAATAACAAAGAAGCTCACGTCAACATGGAGAAATCAATATCAAAATATATCAACTAATATCTTGAATTATTTTACATGTCCAAAAACTAGTAGTGAAAAAAACCACCAATTCGAAGATATAATGCAGAGCACTGCAGTAAAGGTATCATTAACCTGCAGTACTAGAGCTACTATCTACTTTGTTTCCATTGTTTGAGTGAAATAAGTACTCTTTTTTAATAGTGGTTATTTTTAGTGTATTGTGTTCAGTTTTCTGGTTTAATTATAACTGTAGTTTATAGTAAAATCAGGTTTTAAGGTAAATGCCACGTTTAAAACTTTTTTTAGTAAACGGTATTGACAACAAGTTTGTCGAACAAAACACAAACTGTCGATGATTTATATGAAAAAAAACTACAAATATATTAAAATCTTTATTTATTGTATTACTAGTGGTACTGTAGTGAACGAAAACACAGGGGGGGGACAACTAAATATATTTGAATACAAAATTAAAGAATCTCACAGTAAAATCTGAGAACCATACCATAAATACTTCATTTGCAAAATATCAGTTAATCGTCTCATACTTCATTGTTCCTTCATATCCACATCATTCATTCTCTGTTCTTGTTCTGTTCTCTTCGATCTTCTTAATCTTCTGCCATCAGGCACTTCACTTTCTATTGATGATACATACTACTTATATCTATCAATATCAGTAGCACACACAACACAAAATGAGTTTTTCTTTTACATAATTATTGTGAATTAACTAATTAATTGTATTTCCTTTAAAAGATTCTTACTAATATTATTAATAATATAATCTTATATTAATTAAATTGTATTGTTACTTTTACTTTAAACATCTTGTTTTCCATAGAATACCATGGTAAATTGTCAATAGTTGGTCTACGCCCAAATTTTAATCTTTTCCAGTGAGTATAAATTTAAATGTAAACTATTTTTTTTATAAAAAAAATATACATAAAGTAGCATTCTATGAGAAGTAGTAAACTATACGTCTGATCAACGGTAGAACCTTTTCTATATTCTATATTAGTTAATTTGTTATAGAATGGTTAAATTAAAACAAACTTTATTTCTGATAAAAAAAATTAATAATAATATTAAATAAGAAAGATTAGTTCAGGGAAGAGTTCTCTATTCAGGGTGAATTCATCTTCAAAGCTGTACAATCGTAAATGTATTCACTTATTCTTTGCAGGACATGATACTGATTAAAATGATACTGATAATAAACTTCTGTTAGATATGGTGACAGTGAGGTTTTAAAAAATTTATTTTTTTTAAACAGGGAAACTAATAATCGTTTGATTGCTTAATGGCTTAAATATTCATTAAAAGATAGATAGGAAAATTATCATTGTGAAAGAATGGCCCAACATGATAAGATGTTGAAATAGAGATTAAATGTAATCAGGAGGATCGTAGAAACAAAAATAAACACGTTTTGAAGTTGAAAACAAACAAAATATTCACTTTTTTGGTGTGGAAATGACAAGAAATCTGGATGGAACTCTAAGAAGATCTACCTACAGAAAATTCATGACCAACTATCAAGTTTTTACAGTTGAGTTCTCATTAGTCGAAAGAAAAACTTAATAATGTCACTCGCTACGCGAATACAAAGAATTTGTAACCCCGGGGTCATAGAGGACAAACTGGGCTTCTTGAAGGAGATACTTATCAAAAACGGGTATCCTTCGATATTCATTGATAAGAACATAAAACTAAAATTGCCGAAAAAACAAATGACGTCAGTCGAAAAGGAAACATTATACATGAATATCAACTTTAAGGGTGACAAAGCCACATATGTCTTGAAGGGGAGAATTTCTAATTCATTAAAATGAACGTTCTTCGCAGCAACGTTGCGAATAGCATCCTTCTGCTGATCACTGTTCGCCAATGACCGTAAGGATAAATGATCTCATCTGGCCAACTCTGGGTGCATTTACCAATTTGCCTGCTCATGTGGAGCCAGGTATAGAGGTCGTTCGATCCATTCTTTATCCGAAAGAATTCAAAAACATTAACTAGCGTGTCTACGAGGAGGAGGAAACGGCTCAGTCAGAAGTTCAATAATCAAACACCTTGTGAACACAGGTCACTCAATCAAGTCAGACTATGCGTTCAAAGTCATCTACAAGGTAAGTAGAAATCTTCCAAAGACAAATAAATTGCATCATCTTTGCATTGCTGAAGCACTAGCAATACACCTGGGTAAAACAGCATTGGGTGTCCAAAAGAAATTGGTACAACCTTTTCATCTACTATGGTCTTAATGTCTTATAATTTTTTTCATACTATTCTTCTTTTATAGCCATCTGCCCCCTCTTCCAAGTGTACAATTAATTAGGATAAATAGTTTAAAAATATCAGAGTTAAGATAAATCGATTGCGCTTTAATCTGTGTTCGCAAGGTTAACATGAAATTTTTAGTAACCAGTCATCAATCTCATAGTTACACATAAAACTGAGTGAAGAATTACAGATTTCAAAATATTTCACTGGTTATATAATTAAATTACATAACTCTATAAGTTAATAACTACTAATTATCTTTCAATGTTTCATTATTTAGCAACAAAACATATAAACAAATGTTGTTCCACTTAGATCTTCATCAGGCTTTGTCCTAACATACAGAAATAATTTGATGAATATATGATAGAAATTCCTCTAATTAAAACAACAATTTAACAGCAAATTAGCTGGCTATATCTTACGTAATTGACAAATGAGAATTGTTAGAATTAATCAATACATAACTAACCTTATTTTGTTATATTGTAGTCAATCATTGATATCATCTTGAATAAAGGAAAAGTGGTTTAATTTTTACGTATACAGTGTGCATTAACAAATCCAGTTACTCCTGTCATGAAAGCTATACTCACTATACCATTAGGTAAATTAACCAATGAATAAGAAAATATTCCCTAATTGATTTATGAAAAGTTTTGCTGAATAAATGTTTGGTTCGAATTTTAACCGCTTCTAATAACCTTAGACTGATTCTACACAGTAAATAAGACATAAGAGAAAAAGCGCGAAGATTCGGTTTATTTGATTCTTCAAATAAATCGAAATGATTTAAGAATACAGTAAATTTTATGTGATCTATTCACAATTAGATTAACAGTCAGATTTGTGTACATTGAATTGAGTTGTATTAAACAATAATAATTCGATCACTCACCATGTGAATAAATGTTTACAATATTATACAATTAAGAATCTATGATCCTTTTTACAATATGAATACATGTTAAACACAACTGGCAAAAAATCAGATTCATATATCGTTTACATTCTAATTGATTAAGGTATTACTCGCCATATTTATTTAGAAACGAATAAATAAAGGCAGTACATAGTTCTATCTCATCAAACATAGTCAACATTGACCATGTAATGGGTGAAACCAAATTATTTCCAGTAATCTACCGTATAACTTTGCCTGTAGCTCTTCTAGGGCTACAGCTGGTCCTAAGCTCGGGTAAAACAGGAAGGTTGGGTGTGAAAAAAGTGTTGCTAAAAAACGCCAACCAGAATAAGCAATCTGTCCTGTAATTTAGTCGTTTTCCAACGTGGTTTGATCCTTTCTTCTACTTCTAATCTCGTGTTGACCAGATAAAACCTAAGAAACCTTTTTGTCAAACTATCACAGTCTTCAATTGTTTTTATTCTATTTCTATAGTATATGTTGTTCACTGTTTGATTATTTAACTTGTCAAAACATTGTACATATGCCAATAACAGACTGATCAATTACAGTCTTAAACCTCAATGGGAAGATACAAGCAAAACAATACCAAGTGAATTAAAATTCACCCCATTGCACAAGCAAGTGGCTATCAGGACTCAGTAGCTAGGTGGATAACGCGATGGCGTTTGAAGCGAATGGTACTGCGTTCGAGTCCCAGAGTGGACATCAATTCTGAGATGCAGATACATCCAGCTGACAAGTTCTAAATAGGACGAAACGTGCACCCTAGATTCCACCGCTAGCCACTATCTATCTTTGCTTAAAAAATCTTGTGAACTAAGGCAATATCGAAGCATACACACAGTATGCACATATGCCAATAAGAGACTGATCAATTGCAGTCTTAAACCTCAATGGGATGATACAAGCCAAACAATACCAAGTGAATTGATTCAAGCCTTTATTGTTTCTTCATATTTCAAATCTGGATCTAATC